AGAGATATAGAGTACTAGCAATGCTTTCAAGTTTTAATGTCGAGGCAACACGACAAGCTAAAATCGCTAAGGGATTTTAAGCCACATATTGCAGGCCAAGGGTACATTTTCAAATAGAATATGTAAACTTACCGTACATTTAAAAACACGAGCTTAGTAATTTTTAATGTATTTATTAAAATACATTCCTTGGCTATTTTAGTATTAGTTTGAAATTTGTTAAGATTAAACTTCGACCCTATAAATCATATATATTTTTGATCAGTATCAACAGCCAAGCTTAACTAGCCACTAATTATCATTTAAAAATATTAACAAATATCGGTTAAAAGAATACAAATATTTTAAGCTTAATGATAGGTTTTCCCATTTGATCCTATAATTCAATTGAAAACTGCTAGGCTATATTTACTTCGGCTTAGAGATTAGTTTCATTCTTTTTAATTTTAATTAATTTATCATTGGTTTTAAATTTGATTCCTATCCCTTTTTGATATTAAAATACGCAACTTAAGCTTTAAAGAAACAAAGTGTGAAAATTTAAGTCTTATTATCTTTAAGCATAAAGTTAAATGAATATTCTTTTGTACAATCTCTTAGTCTGTAAAGTCAAATTCATTCAAATGCAAATTTGGCCATGCTTATTGTTTAGTTTCTCGCCTAATCTTGATAAAAAAGTAAATAAAAAAACTTGAATATTATAACTAATGTTTCATAAATATGATTTTCAAAATTTAAAACTTATTAAATGAATCAAAGTCATATACATATACCCCAATAAACCTTGTTTAATTGACGACATCATCACCGGAGCAGTCCACCTTTACCTCCGTTGCGATTAAACAACAAGCTCGGACGAAGGTGGAGGTGCGTGTCCGTTTGGACCTCATTTCTGGTCGCATGCATCCTTGAGCATCCTGTCTCTGCCTCTGCATGCTTAATACCTGCCGTTATCCAGCAGATCGAGGGTGTATGCAATGTCTGCATGAAAAATAGCTGCTTTCGAGCTCTGTGAGACGTAATCCCAGCTTTGGCTGCCTTTTGCCCGTTGCCAACATATTTAAGCTCCACTCCAGAGTACGGGTCCTGTTGTCCTGCTGCCCAGATAATGCTTAGCGACACACTCCCTCCAATGTACGAATATATACACAAATATATATATATGTATACTATATGATTGTGCATATAGCTGTCTGCCTGCCTGCGTATCGCTCAATTTGCCTTCGATTGCGGAGCCGCCATTTTACCCATGGCAGCCATTCAAAAAATCCCCATTTTCTTTTCGCTCTTTTTGTTGCCTGGGGGCCATTGTGAATCTTGTTGTCGATTCTGACAACGTCGCTGCCGGCTATGAATTTGGCTTGGTTTTCTTTCAACTTGAAAAACACAATTGTGTGTGCCTCCAGTTCTTGGGTTGTTTTCAATTTGGTTTTTGCGAAAGCCTGTAGAAGTAGACTACAAATATGCGCAAAAATTTAATGCTGGCATCTGGAAATAATACACAGTACTTGGAATAAGGACAGAAAATAAGATGAATAATCGATTTTGCCTCTTATTTTATTTATGAATAATAATGTAAATAATATGTTTGCTTAAAAGAACTCGTCAAAGGCTAAGCTCAGAAAACGAATAACCAATTGTAAAATAAAAGAACATACATTTAGTAAATGTGATGTAAATCAGACAGATTTATTTTTCCTTTTAACATTTTCCTGATTAAAAATATATACCTCAATTTACGTGTATTATCTCTGTTCTGAGCAGACCGCAACCTTAAAACCCTACATAACTTTAAACAAAAATACAAAAAAATAGAGATATTTCAGCCAGCCTGTCAAGTCAAATTACAAAGAAGAGACTTTAAAAGCCAAAGTCCGCACTCCGGATGTCGAATGCGAGGGTGTGTGTAGGTGCTCTGAGTGTGTCGAGTGTGTGTGTCTGTGTGTAGGTGGCGGTCCTTTGGCTACGCATATTCTGGCTTTTGGAAAATGGCCGAAACCAAGAAGCCCGAGAGCACCGACCACTTGGCAGCTCATAAGTGTGCGTCTTGCTTCTCCAAACCAACTGACGGACGCCCCAAAAGCGTTTTGGGGTGTAGGTGCACTGAGAGAAAAATTATAGAATAATAGTAGAACAGTATACCTAGAAACTATAGATATTTAACAGTTACAAAATGTTCAAAAGTTTAGTACCGACAGATTGAAATATGTATTTTAGCATAAAAATGAAATTAGAAAAAGATTTTAGAGAAGATAGTTTCATAAAATGTATCCCAATAATGAATTTTATTAGAAAACAATATGTAAAATATTACATTTTAGCATTATTTTTTTTAACCTGATTCGTAAATATTATAATTTTAACTATAAAATGTTCGTGTTCATGTTTTTTTAATGTTATTTAATGCAGAGGTAACATTGGTTACAGAATTTTTACTAAAATTTTTATACCCCTGTATTTATTTCTGAAATAAATGAATATTTGACAACTCTTCAGACCCTGAAATATTTCTGAAATATTTTGTCACCTAATAGACATAATAAGTCTAAATTGTTATAAAATGTAATGTATTTAATTAATTTGTAAATACAATTACAATTATAAACAATATCATAGCTTGGAAAAAGAGAGAAAAATCGCCTATAAACATATTGTTTCACAACATTTTAAGTTATATTACAACTTATATTGCAACAGTTTAATAATTTGTAATTTATTGCAAATATATTTTCGATACCATTTCTCTGAGTGGGCGGGGTGCGGGGCAGGTGCGCAGACGTTGCTTTGGATCAGCCGGTCGGACCGAGTCACTCAGTCAGCAATTTAACGGCTTTAAGGTCATTTTCACAGTTACGAAACAATGGCACAACAATAAGCAATGGCAGCCAAGTGCATAAGCACACACACACACGCTGCCATAGCTGCAAACATGCATGTGTGCATGTGTGTATGGATGTAGTTGTGGCCAGGATATGAGAGGAAAGAAGCAGAGGCGGTTGGAGAACTGCAGCGCAGAACAGTACAAATACAAATATATATACATACATACATATATATTTATGGGTATTTTTAGTACACTCCGGTTCAAACGAGAGAGCGGAAAGATAGACCAACGCCGAGTGCGAGTGGGAAGGAGTGACAGAGAGCGATAGCTAGAGAGAGAAAGCGGAGAGTGTGCGATAAAGAGGGAGGGAAAAAGCGAAGCTGAAAAGAGCTTTTTCGAGAGACCACTCCCCGAAAACTGCAGGCGACGTCGACGCACACAAAACAACCAATCCCAGGCACAAACACACAAAAAACCCAAAAGAAACCCCAACACACACACTCGCGAATATGGCAAAGTGTTACAATGCAATTTCCCCGCCGCTATTGTTGGTGTTGTTGTTGGGCGACCAACCCAAACTCGATTGTTGGAAACAAGTAGAAAAGAGAAATAATAAAACAACAACGGCCAGCCTGGAAAACTGGCACAGCCGAAAGCAACAACAATTGGCACAGGGTGCAGCAGCTGAATCGGCTTTCCAATTGGAAGTCCACTTGGCTTTCTAAGGGTTGGGTTGTGATTATGTCAGCAGCATGGTGTGCGTGTGTATGTGTGTGTGTGCGTGCCACCCCCTTACCGCCCGAAGAGCGGCGGCATCGTGTGCCTTTAGTCGTCAGTTGCTTTCCAAGCGTCAAAGTTGCCGCTCGGCTTTTTTTCCGGTCATTCGTGCAGCAAAAATTCTGTGATAACGGTAACAAGCCAACCAACAAAAAAAAATACATAAATAATATAAATATGATAAAAAATTAATAAGCAAGAGCGCAATTCGAAAGAAAGAGAATATACCGTTAACACAAAACATCGACGGGCAAATCAAAACCAAAATGTGGATTAAATCAACAAAAATCAAAATGTGAATGGTGCAAAGTGGGTGATGGCTGAAAGCTTATTCAAATAAGGTTAAGCGAAACATCGGCATTTACTAACCAAATATCGCGAAGAATCCAACACAGCATGGAACTCCTTAAACTAATGATGTTCAAGAGTGACTTTCTGTCCAACGGCAAATGTGATGATCGCGTACCGCCAATTAATTTGAGTCAATTGCCAGAGTTTTTGCTGTGTAAGTTGGTACTTCCTTTATCTGATTGAAAGGATAATGGCCGGGGAGGGTGGGGGATTTATCATTGGATCATATCCTTGAATCAGCGGTTGTCGGGCAACAAAATAAATGTGAATACCAATAATTTCTGGTTTCATTTTCAGCAAATCTTGCTTAATAATTAAAATCAATTTCAAAATTTTAGGATACTTGTCAGGAATGTCAAAGGCAATCGAACTTATTAGCATGTTCATAAATAGTAATGAGTTTCATTTAGATATTTCAAAAATTTGTACAAACGCAATGAATAAATATAATGTTTATTTGCTTGGGTATTTTTGTAAAGTGTTCTTTTATATTAAGTATATTAACATTCAAACACTTGACATATTTATTAATATATGGGTTGTTATACTTCAACAATCTAAGCCTAATTTTAAAGTACTACAAAAAGAAAAAAATGTTTTAAAAACTTTCAACATTTGTTCGGGTTAAATGTTATTTACTTTCATTTACAAATTCTTAACTATAAAATGTATTCTCTTTACTTTTTAAACACACTAGCTTTTGTAGGAGAAGGCACATGTGTTTTAAAATATGCAACGTTTTATAACAAATTGAAGATTCTGTAAAGAAATACAAATAGAGTTAAAAAAAATTGTAATAAGTAAAGAATTGCATTTACAAATACAAATTTATCTACAGATTGTAGACGTTTTTATTTTTCTGCACTTTGCTTTAGGTTTTAAAATATGCAACAAACGGAAATTTGGTTTTACGAATGATATTTTACGTAAATAAAATACATTGTTTACATAATGCACATACTATTTTTTAACTTTTTTGCTTTGGCAGTTTGTTTGTTTAAGTGTTGCCTACTTTTAGGCAATTGCGGGCAAACGGCATTTCCGGCAAAAATATATTCGATTGTTAATGGGTTTTCCCATAAATTGATATGTTCTTTATTAATGTCAGTGCTTAAAGTGTGTTTCAATTTAGTTTATTTCCGGGAACAGAACAATGAAAAGCTGAATTTTACATAAGCATTTTCACATTTGGTGTCCTTAGCTCTACATTCCCGAACCCCGAAAAAAGACATACTTAAGCATACGTAACAGATAGTTGGACAAGCTTATTTAAACAAAGCTTGCTCAGTTCTAAATTGTTAAAATGGTGTGTAATGTATAATAAATATAATCTTTTTATGAGTGTATGCAATATAGGTAATTATGCGAAGGGAACTTATAATAATTTTGTTATCCTTTTTGGTAAACCTGAAGAATAAAATGGCCTCAGACATATATTATGTGTTTCATACTTTGCATTCTCAATCTGTAAAATACCTCTCCAAATCCCTTTAGAGTTCACAACGAAATAAGCTGTTTATATAGTTGCTTTTTAAATAGATGACAAAATCATTTTCAAATTAGGGTCAAATAGCTCAATTAATATTTGACTTGATTTGATTCAGTATGTCCGAAAATATTGAAAAAGAAATAAAACAATAGAAGAAAATGATTGCGAGTCAATAGGTAAAAAAGAAAGAACCCATCTTGGACTAATGCTGTACCAATAGAAATACAAGAGGACTTTAATTAATTGAAGTCTATCCTGCCTTCTTACAGCTACGATCCCAAAGTGCGGCGGCTGCCACGAGTTAATCCTGGACCGCTTCATCCTCAAGGTGCTAGAGAGGACGTGGCACGCTAAGTGCCTGCAGTGCAGCGAGTGCCATGGTCAGCTGAATGACAAGTGCTTTGCGAGGAATGGCCAGCTCTTCTGCAGGAGGACTTCTTCAAGTAAGTAAATTTCTCGAATGCATTGCCAGGCAGACTGGTAGTTAGCCGGCTTGGTTTAATGAAAAATCTCCTTCCATGTCGCATTTGCCAATGTTTGGGTCGAACAGACGTTACGGTACAAAGTGTTCCGCTTGTGATATGGGCATCCCGCCCACGCAGGTGGTGCGGCGGGCCCAGGACAACGTCTACCATCTGCAGTGCTTCCTGTGCGCCATGTGCTCCCGCACCCTGAACACGGGCGACGAGTTCTACCTGATGGAGGACCGCAAGCTCATATGCAAGCGTGACTACGAGGAGGCCAAGGCAAAAGGTGGGTGGTTTTTTCCCAGTTTCCCTCCTTCGAACCTCTTTAACCTTGAGGTGTTCCCCCCAATCCAGGTCTCTATTTGGATGGCTCCTTGGACGGTGATCAGCCGAACAAGCGACCCCGCACCACGATCACCGCCAAGCAGCTGGAGACTCTGAAGACCGCCTACAACAATAGCCCCAAGCCCGCCCGCCATGTACGTGAGCAGCTCTCGCAGGACACCGGCTTGGACATGCGTGTGGTGCAGGTCTGGTTCCAGAACAGGTGAGTCGCCTGCCTTGGCAACGTTCTTTTCATTGTGCTAATTCAGACTGGACTTTTCTATACAGGCGGGCCAAGGAGAAACGACTGAAAAGGACGCTGGCCGCACGCGTTGGAGCCAGTACTTCCGCTCGATGAAGGGCAACTGCTCGCCACGCACCGACAAATTCCTTGACAAAGATGAGCTGAAGGTGGACTATGACAGTTTCAGTCATCATGGTAAGTTTTTGATCCCTATTAAGTTTGGAGTAAGAGAAAAATGTGAAATTCAAACGAAGTTCTTGGTTCCCTTTAAAAATCTTTAATTCAAAATTAAAGTTGTGCAATGCATTGTAAAACAGTTTCTTGGATTTTTAATTTTCTACTCCTTTCTATTTATTATAATATTTAATTAACATTATTTTATTCGTTCGGCCTACTTTACTTAGCTTTTTATGATGAGGAACCATTATAAGTAGTGTCAGTAGCCTATTTAACCCCAAAGACCACAGTAAATTATGAGTATAAAATGGGGTAACTCGAAAGGCGGATTCTTTTTAAGATCTTTCGGGATAACTTAAACTATAAATAAGAGCACCCGAAGTCCTTTGAAGCTTCCGGAATTTACGTGGGACATTTCCTTACCTTTCAGTCTACTCAGTCTAAATCAGTTTAATATGTTATATATTAATATCGTATAATTTTATTTTTATAGTATAATATAATATTAGTATACTGATCCTCTATCTTTAAGAACGTCTTTTAACTTTGTTCTTTCATGACCACTCTTATCTATAGTGCATACAAATAAAGTTAACTAACTTTATGTTCTCTCTTCACAGATCTAAGCAACGACAGCTACAGTACCGTCAATTTGGGTCTGGATGAGGGCGCCTCGCCACATAGCATTCGCGGTTCCTACATGCACGGCAGCTCCAGTCCATCGCAGTATCCGCCGAGCAGCCGCTCGCCGCCGCCAGTTGGCCAGGGTCACACTTTTGGCTCCTATCCGGACAACATTGTGTACACCAATATAGGTAAGTTTAGTCCGGGTAAAAGTTGATGCAAGATAATAGTGTTTATAATCTCAGATCATGCTGTGGCCTCCAATCTGCATGCCAGCAAGTCGCACCATCGCCTGCATAGTAGCAACAATGTCTCGGATCTGAGCAACGACTCCAGTCCCGATCAGGGTTATCCCGATTTTCCGCCCAGTCCGGATTCCTGGCTCGGTGATTCCGGTAGTACCAACAATACCAGCGCTAATAATAACAATAGCACCAATAATGCGAACAACAGCAGCAGCAGCAACAACAACAACAACAGCAGCAGTGCGGGCGGAGGCGGTGGAGGAAGTGGCAATGTGAGCCTTAATGCCGCCGCACCCAATGCTTCAGCGGCAGGCGTACATTACTGATACTCAAATCTGCTTTTGCGTTACTTCGAGATGCAATCGCGTAGTCTGCTGCTGGCGGCATCTGCTGCACAGCAGCAGCAGCAACATCAGCAGCATTCGTCGCATCTGTAGCAGCGACGCCATCTTGAAAGCTTGCGGCAGCTATAGCAAAGCTTAACCTTTGAGACATGTGGCAATGCTGCAAACACACACACACAACACACCCCCTATCGTTTAGGTAATAAGCGTTTTTTGTTTATTTTTAGTGAGAAGATATCCCCCCCAAAAAAAAAACAATTTGCTCAAAATCCTTGATTTTTACTTCGGTAGCTTGAGATATATATACACCCGACACGGCTTGAATGTTACTATCTTTGAACGATATAAACATCACTATCATTTACATTTGTATCCCCTATACTTTAATGTAAATATTGTATATTTGTGTATAGTGAATGGAAACTAAAACTGAATTTTAAATTAATTTAAGTCTGTATAGCGTAAAACAAATGCGGGATAAACGAGAGCACAACATTGGTTAAGCCCTTGCCCCAAAAAAAAAACAAAACAAAACCAAAAAAAAACATGAAAACCAAAAAACCAGTTATTTATTGCTTTATATAGGAATACAACCAAATTGCATAGGAGAAATATCAATTACGAAAACGTGATGTCGTATTTATATCTAACGAAAAACCAAAAAAATATTTCAACCAAATAGAAATGTCAGTAATGAAGCAACTACGTAAAATGATAAAACGAAATGCGATGAAATAAATTACTATTTGACACATAAGAATAAAAGACAACAACAAATTGTTAACCAGAAATGTTTATTTATTTTCTTATCGAAGCGTTGACTTTACTTGATTGCAAGTTTTAATTTTAACTTTAAATATATATTCTTTAATATCTTCTTTTTCAGAGTTCAGTTTTCACTGAAGTGGTAGCAAAATGTATAGAAAAATGAAAATTGATATATCATACTGTGTGCGAAAGTCGAAAGCATCATATATACCAAGCATCCGAAAGCAACACATATACCAAGCCGTATCTGTTAGTCATAAAGAATTCTAAAACTATTTCAAGTAAAACATGTCGTCTTCTTCGGATGAAAATGACTATACAGATCCAGTGGCCGTGTGTCACATTTCCGAGTTGCGGAATTCCGAAATGAGGGAAGTGGACTTCGATGGTGATACTCGCGTGCTCCTGATCAACCAAAATGGTCACTTGCGGGCGCTCGGCGCAAGTTGTCCGCATCGTGGAGCTCCCCTATACAAAGGAGTTCTCTCCAGTGGCCATGTGCGATGTCCCTGGCACGGTGCCTGCTTCGACCTAGAGACAGGTGACATAGAGGACTTTCCCGGCCTGGACTCGCTGCCCTGTCACCGAGTCACCGTTGACTCCCAGGGACAAGTGCTAGTGCGCGCCAAGCGATCTGAATTGGGTAAGAAATCCAGGATCAAAGAGATGGTAGGGCGTCATTTTTGGGATCAAAGTTGCTTTGTCGTGGTTGGAGGCGGACCCTCGGGAGCGGTCTGCGTGGAGACCCTGCGGCAAGAGGGCTTCACCGGCCGTCTAATCCTTGTCTGCCAGGAGAGACACCTGCCCTACAATCGTGTAGAAATCATGAGCTCCCGAGCCAAGAGCATGGATCATTTGTGTTTTCGTGACGCAAAGTTTTACCGGGACTACAACATCGAGGTACGTCTGGGGTTCTCCGCCCAGAAGCTAGATACTCGGCGACAAGAGCTGCACTGCAGCAATGGAAGGGTTTTTCAATACGACAAGATCTACCTGGCTACTGGTTACTCCGCTGTAAGACCAGACATATCCGGCGTTGATTTGGAAAATGTGAAAACTATTCGAGATATCTCTGATGCCAGGAGCATCCATGACATGGTTAACACTAAAACCCACGTGGTCTGCTTGGGATCCAGTTTTATGGCCGTGGAGGCAGCTGCCAATTTGGTCTCTAAGGCGGCCAGTGTAACCCTTGTGGCGCGACAAAATGTTCCATTCAAAAGCAATCTGGGCGAAAAGATTGGATGGAGGATACTTAAGCTTCTGGAGGATAATGGAGTGCATTTGCGCATGAGCAGTGGCATCACCCGCATCCTGGGTTACTCCTTTGGTCAGGTGAAGAAGGTACAGCTGATAGACAAGTCCTGGATACCGTGCGACTTGCTCATTTTAGGTACTGGCTGCAAATGTAATACAGGATTTCTCATTGGCTCCGACGTGGCAGTCAATCCGAATGGCTCCGTGGACGTCAATGACTATTTGGAAACAAACGTTCGGAACGTGTTTGCCGGTGGGGATATCGTCAACGCTCACATCCTTGGTGGACATAAAGATCGGGTGAACATAGGCCACTATGGCTTGGCGCAATACCATGGGCGTGTGGCTGCCATGAACATGTGTGGCCACATCAAGAAGTTGGAAGCGACACCCTTCTTTTATACGGTCATCTTCGGCAAAGCGTTTCGATCCGCGGGATATGGTTCCTACCAAGAGGTCATCGTCGACGGTAGTCTGGAGGATCTGCAATTCGTTGCCTACTTTGTGAACAAGAAGAATATGGTCACGGCAGTGGCATCCTGTGGCCGGGATCCTATTGTGGCCAAATTCGCGGAACTGATATCACAGGGTAAAGGATTGCGCCGGTGTCAAATCGAAGATTCCAAGAAATGCAACAAATGGCATTCCTTGATAACGCCGTAGAACTAGTACTAGGATAAATATATATTTAAAAGTTTTAATATTTGGTTTTTGGTACAAAAAATTAAAGCTGTGCACAAGAGCAGTATAACAGTTCGCTTCAAGCTCACGTCTATTAAATAAAGCTTTTTTATATTAACTAAAGCTTTACCTAAGCCCCAAAAATAAAAAAAAACGCTTTTGTAGTTCAAAATACTTTGATTTGGAAATGTGAATAATAAAAGAAATTCAGAAGATAAATAAATTGTTGTTAAGTCTCCCCTAAAAGTTATTTTAAATAACAACAAATTAAATCAGCAATATTCACACACGGTCTGGACATACTAGCCAAATAAATTGCTTCAATTTACAACATCTAAGCCACATTTTACTTATATAATTTTAGTCAGAAGTTTGCAAAGCAGTGAAAAGTCATTTCTTTTACTCTCGCCATTTTCCCCTGTTTCCTCCTCTGTTTATACCTATTTGCAAGGTATAAGTATTAATCAGAAGCTTATAACACAAAATTTTATTTTTTAAAGACTCAGTATGCAGATTTGTTAGCGGTATAAAAATTAGCACAGAACAGTTCTCCGAATTGAAATTAACGCATTTTTGGCTGTTTTATACCTTTTTGCAGGGTATTATAATTTTTGTCAAAATCTTTTAACAGCAACATCAAACGCAGTATGCAGATTTAGCGCTTTAAAATGTAGCACAAAACAGCTTTCCGAATTGAAGTTTATGTATTTTTGTCTTAATTATGAAGTTTGCAAAACACTGATTATTTAAAGAAATTGCCCGTTTTGCAATTTGCCCAATTTGCAAGGTATTGGTATAAATCAGAAGCTTATAACACAATGAAGGAATGATTTCCGACCCTATAAATTATATATATTCTTGATCAGAATGAACAGCTGAACCGATCTAGCCATGTCTTGTGGAAAATAAAGTTTTGCATTTTTTCCAAAATTTCAAAAAACGATAAGGGGGTACATCGTTAAAATTATCAAAATTCGATAAAAAATTGAATTTTTTAAATTTAAAAACGCAGTATGCAGATTTGTTAGCGGTATAAAACTTAGCACAGAACAGTTTTCCGAATTGAAATTAACGCAGTTTTGGCTTAATTATGATGTTTGAAAGACACTGATTATTTACAAAAATTGGCTGTTTTATACCTTTTTGCAGGGTATTATAATTTTTGTCAAAATCTTTTAACAGCATCAACAAACGCAGTATGCAGATAATTTTTGTTAGCGCTTTAAAACGATGTAGCACCAGAACAGCTTTGCGAATTGAAGTTTATGGTGTATTTTTGTCTAAATTATGATGTTTGCACAACACTGATTATTTAAAGAAATTGCCCGTTTTTATACCAATTTGCAAGGTATTAGTATAAATCAGAAGCTTATAACACAATGAAGGAATCATTTCCGACCCTATAAATCATATATATTCTTGATCAGAATGAACAGCTGAACCCATCTAGCCATGTCTTGTGGGAAAATAAAGTTTTGCATTTTTTCCAAAATTTCAAAAAAGATAAGGGGTTACATCGTTAAAATTATCAAAATTCGATAAAAAATTGAATTTTGTAAATTTAAAAACGCTGTATGCAGATTTGTTAGCGCTATAAAAATTAGCACAGAACAGTTTTCCGAATTGAAATTAACGCAGTTTTGGCTTAATTATGATGTTTGAAAAACACTGATTATTTACAAAAATTGGCTGTTTTTATACCTTTTTGCAGGGTATTATAATTTTTGTCAAAATCTTTTAACAGCATCAACAAACGCAGTATGCAGATTTGTTAGCGCTTTAAAATGTAGCATAGAACAGCTTTCCGAATTGAAGTTTGTGTATTTTTGTCTAAATTATGATGTTTGCACAACACTGATTATTTAAAGAAATTGCCCGTTTTTATACCAATTTGCAAGGTATTAGTATAAATCAGAAGCTTATAACACAATGAAGGAATGCTTTCCGACCCTATAAATTATATATATTCTTGATCAGAATGAACAGCTGAACCGATCTAGCCATGTCTTGTGGAAAAATAAAGTTTTGCATTTTTTCCAAAATTTCAAAAAAGATAAGGGGTTACATCGTTAAAATTATCAAAATTCGATACAAAATTGAATTTTGTAAATTTAAAAACGCAGTATGCAGATTTGTTAGCGCTATAAAAATTATCACAGAACAGTTTTTCCGAATTAAAATTAACGCAGTTTTGGCTTAATTATGATGTTTGAAAAACACTGATTATTTACAAAAATTGGCTGTTTTTATACCTTTTTGCAGGGTATTATAATTTTTGTCAAAATCTTTTAACAGCATCAACAAACGCAGTATGCAGATTTGTTAGCGCCTTAAAATGTAGCACAGAACAGCTTTCCGAATTGAAGTTAATGTGTTTTTGTCTTAATTATGATGTTTGCAAAACACTGATTATTTTAAAAAATTGCCCGTTTTTATACCAATTTGCAAGGTATTGGTATAAATCAGAAGCTTATAACACAATGAAGGAATCATTTCCGATCCTATAAATCATATATATTCTTGATCAGAATGAACAGCTGAACCGATCTAGCCATGTCTTGTGGGAAAATAAAGTTTTGCATTTTTTCCAAAATTCGAAAAAAGATAAGGGGTTACATCGTTAAAATTATCAAAATTCGATAAAAAATTGAATTTTTTAAATTTAAAAACGCAGTATGCAGATTTGTTAGCGGTGTAAAACTTAGCACAGAACAGTTTTCCGAATTGAAATTAACGCAGTTTTGGCTTAATTATGATGTTTGAAAACACTGATTATTTACAA